TTGTTAAAATATCCTTCAATGTTTTGGAAAGGTTGGCAGTTTGAAGAGGAAACGGCAGGCAGAATACTTTATATAATCGCATGACTCGCATGTGTTCCAGTTCAACAGCGAGACAGAAGGAGAATCTTACGCCGACGAAAATGTTGTCGACATTGATACAGAGTTGACAATTGAGCGAAACTCTCTGATTTCCTACATAAGGAATCCGAGCAAATTACTTAGTTTCGATGAGGAAATGTCCAGGAAGTCCTGCTGATCTTCAGGTTGCTGAAGATTTCAAGGCTGCTAAATTCACGAACATGGATATGAACAAAAGGATGGTGTTAGTACAAAGCATATAGCTACTGCTCTTAGATCCCGACTGGAGTACGAACCCAACTCTGTGCTTTATGCTTCTGAAAGTTTTTCGCCTTGTGACATTATGACCTATGATATTGAAAAAAAAAAACCAACGCGCAGCATAGTATCTACTTTTTTCGGCTATTCCGCAGATGCTGTCAAAGAAGAAGTTGAGCAGCTTTTCCATCAGCTAACAAGAAGTATGCCAGAGGAGGTAAAGCCAGAGTTCGACAAGGACGAAAAAAGTATACAATATTTCTTTCCCATGTTGAGAAAGCATAAGCGATCTAGCTCTTTCCCCATTACTTACCGCAAAAATCTGATGGACTTACTAGCAAAGCTAGTTTCCATTCCGACTAGCACGGCAGAGGTGGAGAGAGGATTTTCTATCTACTCTGTTATCAGAACACAACGCAGAAGTTGCACAACGGTGAAGCATCTAAGCAATTACTTAGGATTTGTCAACCTTCTACTAAACATACTGTCATCTAGAAGAAGAAACTGGTTACCTACCTGCTGACTTTCCTGGTGCTACCAGAGGGCCAGAAAAAAAACACAAAAGCGCTTTGAAGAAGAAGAACGTTTCAAATCCATTTCGACTCAGAACCCTTTTTGATGCAATTCTACTTCTACTCCGATGATCTTTTGAGGGAAGAAGAAGATCTTTCAGGCAGTGAATTTGTTGTCTCTGACATTAGCGATAGTGATAATGTTGATGATGACGTGCCAGGATTGTAAGTTGTTCCTAACTTGTACATCTTTTGGGATAAACCTTACTGCTTTCGTTTTTTGTTGATGCAATGAAATAGGAGCACAGATCTACATAAAGTCAATTTTTTTGATTTATTGTTTTTTTAAATTCTAAAAAAAATTTTGAATTTGTATACCTAAATAAGGTGCAGATTAGAGCTCTTCATACCACGCTTTTTTTTACCTTTTCTCTCTTCCCCCCCCCCCCTTAGGCTCACATACCCCCTTCATTCTGGAAGGTCGGAAACAGCCGGGACCCCCTTCACCTGGGGAGAGCCCGGCTCCACCTATCGCACCTATGGTATGATGCAAGTAAGGCAACGACCCAGCGTCATTTTCTGGTCCCACTAAATGATGTGTCATTCAAGTGGTATCTTCTCATAGAAGATAATTGTGAATTCAATATGAACCTGAAGCATCTGTTCAAGCATTCTGATGTCAAGATTGCGCAATGAAGTAAAAAATAAGCTCATGATGTCAAAAAAATACATGTCTGTGCCTGAAACGTTGTGCAATTGCGCGTTGTCACCATGCTGTAAGTTCACAGGCTCCAAAACTGCAAAAACGCGTTCCCATTCCACTGAATCAAAATTTAAAGATTATCTAACTTAAAAATCTTCAAAGATGTCAAGCTCAAAAGTGTAATATAAATATAAATAGTAACACACGTCCATTTGTTTCTGAAAAGTCGCTTCTTGGTCTTTTGATATGGTTTTCGTGTACGCTTGGTTCAAAACTCCCAAATACGGACGTTGCACTCTAAATGTCAGGAAATTTGGTTTTGATTAAGCATACAGTGTATGTACTCAGAAATTTAGTCTCCCTTCAAGGCCTATCGACACTTGATTGATCAAATTTCAATATTAAATATATACTTTACTTGGGGTGATGAATTGCCGAAGCATTCATTGGCGTTGCTGACTCATCTTGCTTAGAAAGATTTTAAATTATTAAATTGAATTTAAATACTAATTTTGAGCTGTTTTTATATTAACTCCTCAAGCAAAGCTCGCCTTCTAACTCAAAGCTGCAATATTTTGCATTCCAAATATCTCAGCGGCTACAGCAGTTAGAGCTACAGAGTTTGAGATATTTGCTGCACACTGCACCCAGTACAGTCTAAAGAGGAGAGCATGAATTATTATTTGCAGGATGCGGTGCAGGAGGCAAGGGCCTGCCGCCAGTAACTGCAGGGCATCATTAGGAGCGCGAGTGTTGTGAAGATTTTGGCATAAATTCAGGAAAATTGCAAGGATAACCGTCGGATATTTTTATAACTGGCTCGAAATTACCTCTGAAGGATATAAAGAAGATCTGGAATCAGCATTGATGGGCGCGTTTTTCAGATGCTACACTGGAACGATAAACACTTTATTTCGCTGTAACTCTGTTATATATGAGTGATACAGAAGTCTTCGAACAGTAAACACGGTAAATTGAGAAGTGGCAAGTGTAATGATGCTTAGAGGATAACGAACAAATTTTTCATCGATTTTTAACTATTTTGAAGTTAAATTGTGATAGTAGGGAGTAACTCCAATTAAACGCGACGAAACGGTTTGCTTAGATTTTTCTGCACATTCTCAAGAGTAACACAGACACGGTTTTATTGCATTGTGAAAATGCAATAATTTCAAGCTTCTCTGAGGACGAAAGCGATTTGCGGCGCGATTACCAGCGGTTAAAGGCGGTCCTGAGATTGTCGGCTTGGTATGAACACACTCAAACATTATGCCAGTTTCATCTTCGCGTATGGCTCGATTAAAATTGGCCTCACGAGGGGGCATCCACTGCGCAAAGCCCGGATGCAGACAGTAGTTCCCACACAAACGAGAGTACATTTGACACAGACTGCGTATACTTCTAACATATCAGAAGTGAAAAAAATCCAAAAAAACGTTCCATACAACAAAAATTACATTACCAGCTCCAGACTCATTGATCTTTACTCTTTTATTCACATGTAATCAAACTCTCTTTCGCAAGGTTTCTTTTGACATACTAATTTACCACATTTTGAAAATCGTCATGAATCGCTTTCTTCAACTTCTTGTTTTTTTTCGAGATTATTTAGCTCAAAGGATTACAAACAAAGTAGTTATGCTCGTCTTAGTACGTCAAGCAAACCTCATTATATTGTTTGACAAAATTTTTCGAATCTGATCTTTTGCCTCGTAGCTGTCGCAATCGTACCGTGTAACTTTGTAAGTAATCTTCTCAGGTTCTTTCTAAGCAAATTTTTGGTTGAAGCTTGCGAACCTCCTGCGAAAATACCATGTTTAAGTTTGTAAAACCATCAATGGGCTATATTATACGCAAAGGAATCCTGATTAATTGGATAATATTGTGTGGTCGTAAAAGTGTTGAAATCCGAATATGCCTCGGACAGCAGAGCTGGAACGTTGGGATTTCGGCTGCGTAGCGAATTGCTATGACTTTGTTTTCACATCGGATTCGATTCCTCAGCTTTTCTAGCAAAACAGGAATCCATGCAAATAATAATGAGCTGTGTCCACAAATCAGCGGAATACGAATATCGTTTCATTTTGCAGAGCCTGGCTTCAACTGGCGAAAGTATGAGTATGATGTATCGAAAAATATGAATCTGCTTACAACTTCATCGAAAGGGGTTTGACAGCATGCTGGTTAAACATGGTATTGGAAGTGCAAAGATCCATTTTGGTTGCAGATGATGCAAGAAACTTATAACGATCTATCAAAAAGTCTTTTGGTGCACAACCGCATAAACTGTGACCAGCATGCCACGCTTCTCTTGGCAAAAATAACTTTCATTGTAACGTAGCTTCATTGTAAATCTGTATGTCTGAACCATGTTCTGCCGGAATGTGATGTCGACTTCTCTAATAATGACTTCAATGAAACAACACTCAACTTTGGTTCAAAAGGTAACAGGCGCTATTCGGAGTCAAAAGATCAATATGGTGGGAACACAGACAAATCGTTCCGTGAAAGTTGAGTGCAGAATCCGCGGTAAATTTTGTGATCCAAATATACCGCTCGTCCTTTTGAAGAAACGACGCAAATTCGCCTGAAATAATATCACCGCAGCGAGGCCACATCTTCTTCAGAGTTAACGCAACTCAGATTGGCGCGACGCCTTTTCTAATATATAGAAGTGGCCGCTTGGACATAGGAGGTCAGATTCCACGAATTGTTTCAGATTTTAACTTATGGTAGGTTGCCCAGTGATTGCAATAGATAAGGACACTGAGTAATCTACCGCGAGCAAAAAATCGGATACGATTCGTGGAAACTGACCTTTTATTGTGTCCATTCTATGTGTCAGAAGATATGCGGCGCCGGGCTGAATCGAAGATTCCCTTGTACTATAAATTCGTCTGCTCTGAAGCGAGATATGGCCACGCTATGGTGATGTCACATGATTTGGGCGATTTTGCTGCTTTTTTTAAGATACGAGCGTTATCGAAGATGAACGATATTCTTTCGAGATTTGCTGCTCTCTTTTGAACTGAACTAATGGAGAGCTTTCTATAACACGCAATCAATATCAATCTCTTGAAAAGCTGTTTGAGCGTAAGACACGATTAAGGCTTTGCGTATGCAGTTCGTCCCTTTAATTCAACGAGATTGGCGGCTGGAAGGCGTATCCGAAGAAGCACAACAAAATTAGTTGCCAACAGCGACAGTTTTGTTGTGTCAGTAAGGGGGATGGAATGCTCAGCCAATCTTAAGCGTTTTTGCTGGAGTGGCGACGTTCAAATTCAGTGGACTCCAGCGAGCACGCAGTTTTAGAATTTTGAAACATTTATGCATCGAAATAGTATTGAACTAGTTGACAGAATAGCCATCTTTCTACCACCTTTGTGGAGTAAACGGCGTTGCTTTGTTCAAACAAATGCCATCATCAGCAAATGGAAAAAATAAAGTGCTTTCCATATTTATTCATCTAAAGTGAATATAAGGCAAAGGGTAATCATATAAACTGCCCAATGAAGAGAGCATTTTTATCCTTAGTAAGAATGAAAATGAATGGGTGGTCTGCGATGAAATTCCTCTGGATCCTGGGAGGTCCTCTTTTACGGCAGACTTTAATTCCGATGCGAGTTGCTGCGGCTGCAGTTGTTCCCTTCTCGTCAACCTATTCGAGCAAATTGTACGTTTGCTTGAAAAGATGATTGAGCATTATGATACCAGCATAAGCTAGTATCTACCGCCATTTTTCATGCACAAGTGCTATCGGTAGTGCATCACTGTCTTAACCATTTGCATACAACATGAAATACTTTGAAACTTCTGGATTTTGCTTTGTTCATTGATTTAAAGGAAATCTTTGCTTTTGTTTCATTGTTACTAATATAGCCGAGAAACTTACCTCAATAAAAGCTCTATGCTTTGCGTCCGATGCATACAGGTGGTTTTCTGAAATCCCTGACAAATCGGCCAAATTTCTATCGAAGAGGTCGGAAACACCCATAGCCAACAGAGCCTTTTTCAAATCGTAGTCCTTTTCAAGTTTCATTTTGGGGATTGATATCTAAAAAGGTGATAAAACCGTTTAGCCAAAAAATTCTTCTTACTTGGTCTAAATGCGTTGACTTTAGCCGTGAGAGCAGATTTTGAATCGTAGCTCCATCCAGCTTCGTACGGAGCTCATCAATGCCAAATCTTCAAGTCTGAACTGTATCTCTGCCGGCATACCTTGGCGAAAAAGACTACCTTTTCTTAGGCAAAAATATATTGAAAGAGTAGGATGTGTCCTTATAAGGTAGCGATAGAACTTGAACGACTTCATTCTCAGCATACATGCGATTCTTTCTGTACTCGTTCATATAGTTCACCTGCAAAAACCAACAAATCGCAGCTGCTATATGTATCAAACAGGAATCCATAGCACTCTCTCTCTCTCTCTCTCTCTCTCTACCTTTCCTTTATCATCTGCAGAATGATAAAATAAAGCCTCTCTTGTGAAATTCTTGTTAAACGTGTAATGCCAATCAGCTTTGAAGTAAATTGCATTTACTATAAGGGCATCTGCACCTGAAACATAATCTTTCACCAAAAAAAGGATAGTGACAAGAAAACGCACCTTCTACTGCATCACTTTTTATGAAGTTTTCGATTTTTCCATCAGTTTTTTGACTTACGAAGTTGTCGATAATCTTAATCAGTACTTTTTGCTTTCAAAAGCACATATTGTTGATTCTTTTTACCTTAGCAGTATTTGCTGCCTGTCTAAAGTCGTAAGCTTCTATCAAAGCGCCAAACTTTTGGGCAATCATTCTCGCATAGTCCTTTCTTATCGAAAATGTCTTGCTAGAATTAGGTAGATCTTTCCTCTCAAAATCAATAAGGTTCTAGAAGCAGCTTTCAGATTTATCTTTTTCGAAAGCCTAAGCTTTCATAGGTAGAGAACTCATATCATTGCATTCTCTCCATTTCTATTACAATCTTCCCGTGTTATCTCAAATGGAACTGTTTGAAATGAAAAAAGAAACAGGCGAAAAAATGTTCGCCAGATCCTAATTGGTAAATTTTAAAAGACGTATTTTGGCAATGCAAAGAGACAATCGAAAGATACTGTGATGTTAGCTTCCGATAAAAAATGTTGGCCGTAAACTATCGTATATGGAACGCCACGAGCAACGAAGATTAGGATGTATTAGTTTCTAATTCTGCTATGCATCGTGGTCAAACTTACATCCCTAATTTCCCAGTTTTTTTTTGTGATTAATTACGAGGCTACATTTGGAATTCTTGCACAACATGGTAAATACATATTTCAGTGAATGTGTAGCTGTAAGCGAATAAAAACGTACACATCAGCAATGATGAGGTTGGATAAGTACTGCCCAATTTTTATGATTTGTTTGGCTCAAAGATGGCGCATACACACATTCTTGTGAAATATTATGCATGTAAAAAGGCGTGTTTCTGTAGTTTCACGAGTTCAGCCTTCTGACATTGCTATCTTGAAGTGTGGTTCAAAACAAAAAACATTCAAAAAAAAACATTTTATTCTCATACTGCTCTAGCAGTATGAGAATAAAATGTAAGCGTTCAACTTATAATTTTTGCTATCTGGAAGTCGTCACATGTTTCTATTCAGCCAAGACCTTCGATCGTCTAGAGATAGAGCCGCAAAAAGGTTCTTCTGGAACTTGTCTCGCATAAAAGTGAAGGTTGTCTAGGAAAGCGTGCATTGTAAAAAAACCGCCAAAAAAACCGATTGAACGTTACAATACGTTGTAATGCTTGAAGGTTTTGCATTTCTAGCGCGATATAATGCACATTAGTGAACAGTTTCATGCTGGGCGGCGTCATATCCCAAGCAAGATGCTGAAATGGCACATTCCGACCTTCACAAAGTAGTGCGGCAAAATCTTGGGGTTTGTTTACAAAATCTGGATGTAAATATGTACGCAAACTACAGATTGACTATACTTTGAGAACCCTGCAGTTCTCATGATTCCTGCAAATTTGCATCGGTGCCGCGCCAAGACGGCCCTAGTCATTTGGAGATTATGGCGAAATTTCGAGTACTGGTTTTGCAAATACACTGTTGTTCAGAGTCATCCTATTCAAAATGATAGTATGTGTTCTACGTCCTTATCCTCTATATCATTCCGCAAAGACAGGATTTATCTTTGATGGATCTACCTGTAATTGTAAAATAGATATAGGCGAAAAACCACAACTCGTCAGACCTCATATCATTCGATTTAGACTAGAAGACGCAACTCCTATTGCATTTTCTTGCGATCAGCAAGTTAACCTATGATTTTGAATAATCTGCTTGGAATGAAGAAAAAAAGTTGAGTTTGTCTAATCATAGGAAGAATTTTCGAGTCTTCTAGGCGTTCGCATGTTTACCTACCGGAAGGAGTGGGAATGAGTGACACGAAAAATATTAAGCAATTCTCTTCATTTAGCACCTAACATCAGTGAGTTTTTCGTTTACGTTATAAGATGCTCAGTTGAAACATGATACTTGCGAAAAGTAATCTATATTTTGCGTCACGTCTCAGTTAGAGTGCCCAGCGTTTTCGGTTCACACACAAAAGAATCTATAAACCACAAACATGCTAACAAGCACTTTACAGTGTTTGAGTTTTATATTAGGCTGATCATGGCTGATGCCTGTTCTCTATACTTCAAATTTACACCAAGATGAAGGACGCAGTTAAAACTACTGTACCGGGGACCTTTGGCTGTACAACAGGTACTTTTGCGTGACTGTTGTTAACACAAAAAAATTTTCTAGTTTGAAGGTTGCTAAAAAATTTTTTGGGAGCTTCTACCTTGAGAGAGTATGACTTACTCTGATGTGAAGTAGGATAGCGCACACTTTGCTCATCGTGTAACCAAGAAACTGTTGATGGATGCTAAGCTTGGATTTCAGAGAAAAAGCCGAATGTGTTCACTTTTTTCTGGCATCACGGTGTGTTCAAAAATCAACCTTTCTAAGAAGTTCATTTTCCTCCATTGGAAAGTGAAAAACCGTAACGTTTTTCCACCATCAAATAAACTAGGCTTATCCCTGCTAGATAGTGCAAAACTGCACACGCCTTTTGCTCAAAGACAGCGGCTCAGCAGAAGGAATATTCATCGTTTTCAGTCCCCCTAGATAAGCTAAGTCCAAGATTGTGCTTTGTAGCTTCAAACGATATCAATAACCCGCTTTTTCAGAAGTGAAAAGTGCTACTTGGGAGGACGGCGTATGTCTGACCTCTAGAGCGTGATTGGCTCGTGAGTACGGTTGCTACGGTGTCTCCACCCACGAGGCAATCGCGCTCTAAAGAGCAGGCATACGCCGTCCGCCCAAATAGCACTTTCGTGGGCAGGTGGGTATGGTGTCTCCAATCACTAGCCAATCGCGCTCTAGAGGGCGGGCCTACGCCGTCCGCCCAAATAGCACTTTCAACGTTTGGAAAAGTGTTAGTGATATCTTTTGAAGCTGCAAAGCACAGTCTTGAACTTAGCTCATCCAGGAGAACTGAAAACTATGAGTATCCCAAGGTTGTCATTTTGCTGAGCCGCTGCCTTTAAGGCATAAAACTTTAGAATGAACGAAGATGCTGATGTAATCGCTGGAAATTACAATCTTTCGTTTTCGCCATATCCAACTTCTGTCAGTTTGCCAAATTTTTATTTGAGGCATTTAAGAGAGCTTCGATAACCAGCGAATAGGGTAGACTTTGCCATTAAAAAAAATTTTTTTTAGCTACTCTTTTAGAGTTTTGCTAAATAATTTTCTAAAAGACTTAAGTTTTGGAAAAACCGCATAATCTATTATTGCACCAACATTGTAAAACCTTCTAAATACTGAGGTTCCAACACTCGATTATTACTACCACTGACCTTACAGAAATGAGCAATTTTTTTCTCAAGATATGACGATTCCAAAACGCAGGGTACGCCAGTGCTCTATTGCGAAATATTGCGATTTTCTCCATCAAATTCCGCATGTTCCCGAGGAAAGACAACTGTTAGAAAAAAATCTGCATTGGGTAGTCAAGTAACCGTCTACATACTCATGTTCCACGGGGTTGGGATAGGCCGAACATTAAATTTGGTTACTTCAAGAATGTTTTTTAGAAATTCTAAAAGATAAGCAACAGAGCTACAGGAAGAGCACAGTTGGCGAAAGGTATGAGCCAACCGCTTACTGTCAAAGCTCCCGCAAAAGTGTGAAGTAAAATTTTGAAAATCAGCGGAAGCTGGAACTGGTGAAAACGACGGGTTGTAACTTCCAGTAATTTTCTCAGTACTCCCTCAACGAAACACACAGATAATATAGCAGCTGTAAAGGGCTAGAAATTTTGCGTTGAATGCAGCATGAAGTGTTTGTTTTTTCTTTACTGTACGGGATTTGTGGGCCCTTTCAATAGACTGACACAACTTTTGGATCGTTCTAAAATGCGTATAGATCAAAGAAGAAAACATTGTGTGCTGAGTCAGCTAATCAGAGCTATTGCCTTATGCAATATTAAATTACAACAGCCGTTAGCGCGACGCATTAGACGCCTAGTGATCACAGAATTGCAAGAAACGGGAGCCGCAGGAATCACAGCATATGGCCGCTCCTCAGGAAGATGTTACTTTTATATACACAATGCTTTTTTTACGGCACAAATAATTTAAGGCAGCACCTAAAGCCATTAAATAAATAAGTCTGTGAAATTTCGAAACTGCTTGTTTCAATGAATTAATGTATTATCCAGATATGTTTACAAGTGTATGAGGTTGCCAAACTAAGTCGCATGCCTGCTATCACCAAACTCCATTACATAACCAGTGTAAATGGTCTTCTACTTTATGCTCAAAGTAAGCGGACAAGATAGAATAACTTACTTCATAAAGAACCCATTAGTAATTCTTGCCTGTGCTCCAGGTGAGTTGGTAATGTTCTTGAAAAGATCCGAATAGAAGCTGACTATAGCGTTATCGGTAGCTTCTAAATTATGAGTATATAAACATTGACGTTGCTCCACATTTGGTGACCCATTGATAAATAAGGTCTAATATTAGGTTGTTTATAAGTTTTTTTTTGATTTTACCAGCATCATAGTCTTTCTATCTCTTTCCCTTATTCATGCGCTCGGCTTGGCAAACTTCAGAGCAAAGCAAGAGCCTACAAGATGGCTAGCTCTTGAATGGCCTTCCAAATAAAGTTTGAAACTGAAATCTGATGGTGGTTGAGCGAATATACGCCAGAATCGTATCTCTATGTCAATGAATACTACAGATCCCCCCCCCCCTCCTACTTGATAGTGCATACTTAACAAATCACTCAGTTATACACTTTTCATATATTTTCGCAGCTAGAAATGAAGAAGAAATAGTAGAGAAAAGGGTGAATTTCGCAGATGCATAATTATATACGGTCGAGTAGATTTCTTGCTCAATATAGTGTCCCTGCAGACGCACAAAGTTCGTGCGTAGCAATTGTTATTGAAAGTTTGCGCGAGTGTTTTTTTATTATTTTCTTTGCTTAATCTTTGCTTATTAGGAAAATTATTGCTGACAAAGGAGAAGAAGGTAAGTTTGAGAGTAGTTTCTGTTCCCTGAGTAGTTATGACATCACTTATTTTCAGGTATTTACGTGAAAGCAACGTCGCGTCAGTTTCATGTGTATTTTTTCTCCCTGCCTCTCTCTTCTTCTGTAGAAATTCTTTGCTAGGCTTTTACGTCATACTTATCATCTTTATCACACTAAGCGAATGAATGCTTTTTTGTGTGAAAGTCAAAGTACCTAAATGTATACATGGCTGCACAAAACGGCCCATTGACCCAATGCGAAATTAGCCAGCGCGCATGGAATACGCCCCCGGAGCATGCTAAACACAGTGAACTCGAGCCTTTGGACGCAGTCCTTGCAGGTGTAAGTGATTTTTTGCCCCAATCGGGTCAGGCCGGACTTTGGCACGATTTACGCGCAAAAACAGAAACTTTGGGAACAAAGTGGATTAGTCAATTTGCAATCATACACTCCAAAATCATAAGAGATTCTTTCTGTACAACGTACTTTGAGCTAAGAATTGTGGCATGGATCTTGGAAAGACATCAATATCTTTTTCACAGTCGCAGTGGCCACGCCGCTTTCACTATATGCAAAGTACCACTAGTTATACTTTGACCTACTGCATGTTAGAAAGCAAAGACTTCCACGCGGCAAGATCTGTACAATCTGCCCCAATCCCAATCAGGCCCAAATTGGCATGGCGGGGCCCCGTCGCCAAGCTTTTGCGTAACGCCTACAGCCTGCTTGTATGCTCTCTCTTCGATCCCTTCGCTCTCTCCAAAAGCGCGCGTATGCAGCGCGAAGTAGTGGGGCTCCGGCTACATTCATTTGAGGGCGAAAAAGCATTTTGGAGTGTTCTGTTCTCTCATTCGAAGATTGATAAATGTAGTAGTAACATAAACGTCTTTTGTTTCTAACATGTTGTCAAACCTGAAACTGTATTCAGGTGCAAGTGTGCATCTCGGAAAAGTGTAACAAACCATCAATGGGAATTGAATCTTTTGGTAATGATTTTGCGTAAACCTTGACGAATAAAATAGAAGATTATGAATTTCTTTATCAAAACCCATCTTATGGCCTTCAAAGACTGCCTCATGGGGCAGTAGCAGTGGCGGACCGAGGAAGGGGTGGGGTGGGGGGATGGGTCGCGAAATTTTTGAAACTTACCTACATGGATTATAAAAGTGTGCAAACTGACTTGTTTATTTTTGCAAATAATTAAAATAATTTTTTAAAACTTTTCAAAAATTTGAATTAGCCTTGGAAAAAAATTTTTTCAAAGCGTTGCGCCAGCCACGCCCCCATTCCCCAGATTCAAGGGGTCTTGAACCCTAAAAACTTTTAATAAGCACCCCAAAAAAATTTTCGGAGTGCGTTGCTAATGCCACGCACCTTCATTTGAAAAAAAATTTCCGCTCTTCCCCTCCCCCCAGACGGAAATCCTGGGGCCGCCACTGGGACCACCACGGGCAGTGGTTATTTGAGTCAGTTTCTTCTACCTCCGAAGCATAAAGACTCAGCTCCATCTGTAAAAGAAAATTATGAAAGCAGTTTTGCACATCCGACTTTCAAGGAATTGCTGCTTAACATTGATGCGCGCCTTGAATGCATCCAAAATTGTCTCGAATCAGATTTCATTTCTAAGTCAATAAAACTTTTAAAAACGTTGCGCAAGTCCCAAACATCACTAAAATACAAAAAATTTGGTGGACCAAAAAAGCTAATTCCTCTTCTGTTTTCGCTAGAAGCCAGCATTTGCACCAGATCAAGCACCAAATTTAACCTCACCTTAGATCTAACAAAGGAGTTCTCCTTGGTTGAAGTGGCCTTTATACATGAAATTGATTGAAAAAAATTGTAAAAACTGTAAAATAAATAATAATAATGATAACAATAATAATAATACCTGTCTTCGTTATCTGTCGTATGCCTCTGAACGTCGAGTTATGGGCGTTTTTAGAGTTGAAAACTTGAATACACAATTAACACAAAATTCGTCAGAATTGCTCAAATGCTCCAGTGTTGATCATCAGAGCAATCCAGTTGAACAATACCTTCTGTCCAAGACACTCATATTTAAAACTGCTCAGTCTGTGTGTTGAAAAGATGGTAAAATTTGATTTGGCCTAGATTATGCGTTCATTTTTTGTACAAAGAAAATATTCATAACTCGGCATGCAGAGACGCTTGGCAGATAGTGAAATCAGATTTGGATTCAGCCTCTGGTGCTCTTCAAAGTGGTATGAGATTCATTTGGAAACGTCACTTAGTCCAGTTCGCCTCCCTCGTGAGGACGAATATGTGGACGACAACCCGAAGAAACTATCGATCTCATAAGCGTAGACTCGAATCTACGATGCCTAGAGTGCCCAACAGCGAGGAGATTGCGCGATTGAGGAATTCGCAATGGGGCATGAAATTGCGCTTTGCGCAGCCATTGTAGATTTGGGTACGTATCTGACGCATCGCAAACCTTTAGGATTCAAGAATGCTTCACAAGAGAAAATAGGCATGAAAGGGGATACAAAAAAACTGACAGAAAATATACCTGAAACTGATCGACGCTTCCACATAGATACCTGAGAATAAGCAACAACAAAACTGCTCGGAAAACAGGAACTAGTCTCCAACTTACCTTCTCAACTTTATCAGAAATGACGTGCCTAAAAAGCATTTTGAGCAAAAAAAACCCTTAGGAAACCTTTGCATGGAAACACAGTGAAACAGAGTGGAATTTGTTGATGCACAAGCGCTGTCGTGACTGCAAGGACACTATATTAAGCAAGGAATCTACTCGATTGTAGCTTATACGACCATAACTTTGCGCGCTCGTAGTTGCCTTAGCTCTCGGCAAATAGTGATCTAGCATTTACATTGGAAGGAACATACGCGACAACACAGTAAATAGAGCGAGAAAAGTTGCTCAACAGTAGAAAAACCACACTTTCCCCTTCACACACCTTGCACTTCCATTGCTATCGTTGTGCTTAGCTGCCAGAGTAATAGAGCTTTCCTTGTTATTATGAAGGTAGGGGAAAAGTAGAGCGGAGACATATAACCCCTTCAACTCCTCTTCCCCCACTAGAGATATGTGCGCTGTAAGGGCTTTCACAGGAGCGGTAACTGCTTGCGGAGTGGCCCCAACATGTCTGTATTTACAAAAAACAAGAAATTTCGTTTCCTGGCCTTCAGTACCCAATGAAGTGGTCACGGTGTCAAACTCTTCATATATGCGATTACGAGCGAGCTTTTAAGGCTGTGTAAGAAAACAATTTTTTTTGTTTCATTGGAGATCATTACTATCCGCTCTGCAAAGCTAACCAATCTTGAAATAACAAGACCGATAGCGTGAGCCTACTTCCCATTTATAAATGACTAATCGAGCAGCAAGCATCAAATGCTGCGTTTTGTAATATATATATTAGGTGGGTGCAAAAGTTCGTTCGTCAGTTTTTCAAAAAGTCGTAAATTCTTTCCAACTCGATGAATCTCTTTGATTTTATACTCATTTAGAAGAGAAAATCTTTCTCTTTACAGCAGTAAATTTGCCATGCATTGGCATGAGAAAATTCGAAACTTAAAAGCAATTGAAGAAAGGTACTCAAGATTTCCTTTTTTCAAGCAGGGTCTCGAAAAATTCTACAAGTATTTTTGTATACTAGAGAAAATTATACTCTTTACTATGGTGCCTTCCCATGAATTAAAACGAAAAAGTTTTGCAAGTTCTGAGCATGCTCAAAAAAGCCTAAAAACGTCACAGAAAGGGCGGAAAAGTCAAGAACATAGGTTTTGTGGCATTCTCTTTCTAGCTAAGTGAGTTTGCTGAGTGAATTTGCTAATCGCGAGCAATTTTGATATTCCTGAAAAACGTAAACCCGAAAATCCGGAAAAATTACGAAAATCAAAATTGTTCTTGATTAGCACGATTTCCGCTCAGCTAGAAAGGGAAGGTCACAAAACCCATGTTCATGACTTTTTCGTCCTTTCTGTGACGTTTTTAGGCTTTTTTGAGCATGCTCAAAAATTGCAAAATTGAAGTAATCTCTTTATTTGCTTCTAACTCTCGATCTTTTCGTTTTAATTTATGGGAAAGGCACTATAGTAAAGAGCATAATTTTCTCTATTACACAAAAATACTTCCAGAATTTTTCGAGACCCTGCTTGAAAAAGGAAATCTTGATTACTTTTCTTCAATCGCTTTTAACTTTCGAACTTTCTCATGCTGATTCATGACAAAAGTACTGCTGTAAAGAGGTTTTCTATTCTTAACGAGTATAAAATCAAAGAGATTCATCGAGTAGGAAGGAAGTTAGGATGTTTTGAACTGGCTAACGAACTTTTGTACCCATCTAATACAGTGCTGGCCAAAACTATAATTCCACCCTGAAAACTGCCGTAACTCTTCTGCTTTTCAACGAATTAACCTGAAATTT